GGGGCCGGGGCAGGCCGTGGGCCCGGCCCGGTGACCGAGGCGAGGCCGCGCTCAACGCACCGGCGCTGGTACAGAGCCGAAGACACCATATGCGCAAAGGCACGGGGGCTGATGTCACGCTCCTCGCGGAGCTTGTACATCTTGGTGCGGGCACGGAAGTCGGCCCACCTGTAGGGGCACAGCAGACACCGGACGGAGGAAGCGAAACCGGGATGGGCGAGGGTCAGAGTCGGAGGGGAGCCGGTGAGGGGCCAGCGAGAGCCCGCTTCGCCATACTCCGGCGAAGGGGGATGGGAGAGGGGGGGGGGGGGGGAAGCCCTAGCCAAAAGCAAAGAGACGCCAGGGGAGAGACCGACGCACAGGGTCTGCACATCGGTGGCAAGGCCACTCATGCCGATCATGACATTGTTGTTGACCATATGGACACGCTGGAAGTCGGTGGAAATCATCTGGCCATTGGCGCTGAGCTGGGTGTCGGAGGCGATGGCGACGCAGTCGCGGCCGACCATGGCGAGCATGGCCGAACCGTTATAGCTCATGATGGACTAGGGGGAGGGAGGGGGGGGGGGGGGCGCACGCACAGGCATCCGCACACGCAGGAAGAGCGGCAGGGGGGGAGGGAGCGCGAGGTGTCAGGAGGAGCAGGGGATACGGGCATGGCAGGCAACGAAAGGGGACACGCACCATGGTGTTGAGAGGGAGGCTTCGTGTGCGAGTGTGATGCCGGGGGCGGGGTGGCGCCGGCGAGGGGCGAAAGGGGGTCCGAGATGTCAGGTACCAGGTCGGGAGGGTAGGAGGCGGGCGGTGGTGGCGGTGGCGGTGGCGGTGCAAGGCGATACACGGGAAGGGGGAGGGGCAGGGCGCAGGACGTGCGCAGCACACGCACAGCGTTCCGGGAGGGGGCGAGGGGCGATGAACAGAGGGGGCGCGAGGGGAGGGCGGTGGAGGGCGGTGGAGGGCGGTGGAGGGAGGGAGGGAGGGGGCGCGAGGGGGACGGAGGGGACGAGGGCAGGGGCTGAGGCTTTCCATGGCTCGAATAGGCCCGAGGAGCCGGGCCCACCGGCACTTGGAGCAAAAGAACTGTCCCGTCAGCTCCCCCCCCCCCCCCCCCCCGCCACCGCCACCCCGCCGGGCGTGATGCGCCACGCCCGCCACAGCCAGAGCCAGCTAGAGCCAAGAGGGGCGGGGGGGGTCTTTGCGCAACTGGGCAATCGCCGCATTCCCGGTACTTTTACATGGCCCCAGTGGGTGGGGCGCCCCTCGGCGGCGTGTGTCCCGCGTCTCGGTGTCGGGGTGGATGTGTGATGCGCGTCGCGCCGGCGCCGGGGCCGCGGTCGAGGGGGGTGACACCCCGGGCGCCCCCCCCCGGACGGGGGGCGGGGGACCCCTCCCACTAGTTGACGGTGCCGGCCCGGCAGGAACCCCCCCCCCCCCCCCTGGCCGATGCGACTTGCTGACCACTTCCCCCCGGCCCGAGAAACATCTAGAGCGGCCGGCATCCCCCGCCCCCCGCCGCCTCCGGAGCCCGGCCCCCCAGGGCTCCCCATCCATTGGCGTTGCGCCGGGCGGCCATGAAAGGCCCCCGCCGAGGGCCGCGGGCAGGAGGGGGGCGGAGCCGGGAAAGAGGAAAAAGCGCCCAACGCCGCCACCGTCGTGTCTCCCCGCCCCGGGGCGCGGGCCCACGGCTGTCAGGGTGTGCCCGATGACGTCGAATCCCCACGCACTGGCCCAGGCATTACAAG